AAAAAAAAACAATAGCATTCAAGTTTATAATCTAGTGATCTTAACAGGAAATTCTTTGTCTCTATATTCTAGATTTGAATTTTTGTGTGTATGCCTATTATTTTTGTAGTGCTTTATTTGTCTACTGGATTTGCTAGATTTTCAGTGAATTCAAGAATTAATCGTAGTACGTATAAGCTGACCCGAATACTTTAATTTTAAAAAATAAATATATTTATAATGCCTTCGGTTTTGTTTTATTTTAAATTTAGGTCAACAAAGAGTAGTGGTTTCAGTTTATCTATGTCTAGGAACTTGCTATGAAAATAGCTGGGTTAAAATAATAATTATTAAATTCAGTTTGATCTTTACCTAATAATACTAATTGAATTTTATTTTGAATTAATTTGAAAATTAATTAAGCAAAACTTTATTGATTTTTTTTTAAGAAATATCATTATTATTCAATAATTTTTTTATTTTTTTTAAATGAACTGGTTTACTTGCATGTCAATTCCAATAATTGAAGAAAAAAACTTATGTAAAATAATATTGTTTTGGGATTGTCCTAGCAAATTCATAACCCATAACTTAGACTGGATTTAATATCTATATTTAAAATAGCTAATTAAATGGAAAATTATATATAAAAAAAAATTGAGGTTAGATCATTATCAAAAGTTTTGGGGTTTTGGAATATATATATATATATATCAGTGACAAAATTAATTTTGAATAAAGTTTATTATTCTTTATCATAAGATCACAAATTCGTGGTCCTCTAAAAAATTAGATTTTCCTATCTAAGACTGTGGATCTATTATTTAGATCTTTGTATTTTTTGGGTAGCAGATGATAGTGACCAATACGAAAGAGAGTGGGCGCCATATGGAAGATTAAGATTTAAGCGTGGGTTTAGTATCGTGTGTTTGAAAGTATTTTAAAAATATATTTGCTTTTAAAATTATATTTGATTTGAAAAAATATTAAATTAATATTTTTTTAATATTTTGTGATGATTTTAATATTTTAATGCCCAATGAAAAAATATAAAAAAATTATTTTGATATATTTCTAAATAAAAATATATGTATTTATAGATATGATTTTATTAACAATTTGATGTTTAATTTTTATTCAATAATAAAATATTAATTAAGATCAATTTTCTTAAAACTATCTTAAAAATACATATTTATATTAGTGTAGTGTATTCTCATAAAATAAATATTTTTAAATGCTAGTTTAAGGTGCGAAAATCAAAGAAGGAAGCACATTTTATTTACCATCAATCCAAAAATTTTAATTTTGATAGTTAAAGTAATGGGATAAAATTTGTAATAGAGTAAACCATATTGAGATTAAAAATTTTATACTTGTCGCATTTTATCTTGTTTAGTGGATTTAAAGAGTGTTTGATACAGTAATACTAATTATTTTTTAAAATATTTTTTATTTAGTAATACATTAAAATAATTTTTTATTTTTAAAAATTTATTTTTGATATTAATATATTAAAATAATCTAAAAATATAAAAAAATAAATTCTAAAAATCTGAAAAGTTCACAAACTCCCGCTTAATGATTTTACGGGTTCTTTTTCCACTGAAAATAATTGAGCATCATATCTTCTGCAATCCAAATTATCCATATTTACCAGTAACCCAGATTTTGTTTTTTAAAAAAAAAGGTCAAGAGAATTCTTGCACCGAAGATCTACATTCCAATTTTTGTCTTTAATTTAAATACTCATAACTTATAGCTATGATTACGGCTTTTAAAATCTTACAAATTGTAGCCTTTGACAATAAACATGTAAAAACTATGATATAATCTTTTAAATTATCATGGAACACTTAAAAGTTATAATTACAGTATTAATAATTCATAAATAAATATTTAAGTTAGGTTTGTTTTTGTGTGTTAAAAATATTTGTTAAAAAATAATTTTTTATTTAAAGTAATATATTTTTAAATTATTTAACATTTTAATTTTACAAATAATATTGTAAAAATAAAAAATATTTTAAAGTAACAACGGTAACTCTACTCTCACACGTTTTTAATGAGGTTGATATGAAGTAATTTTTTTTCATAGGAAATCGTGTTTTTGTCTTGAAAAAGGGGGTGGCCGTGCTGTCCTTCGTGTCTCTGCCCTCATCCATGGCAAAAGGATGTTGTTATCAACTGTGGAGGATCGTCATTTTACTCTCTTTAACTTTAACTAGCCAAATGCACCTTTTCTTTCTTTATAACTTGCTAAGTAACACCATAACCTCAATTTATTGAAATGCAAGGGCATTTGTTAAGTCTGAAAATGTAGGTGATATTATGTTTTAAAGTATTTTTTTGTTTGAAAATATTTTTAAATAATATATTTTTTATTTTAAAAAAATTATTTTTGATATCAAAAAATAAAAATGATAAAAAATACAAACAAATAATTTTAAGCAAATTTTCTTTTTAAATTTTGGGCCAATAGCATTTTGGTTACACTCTTAGACACCTCCATGAACTATAAGAACATAAAAATATATTCCTAGTGAATTTATATATTAGAAATTTTTTATCGTGCATGTTTATATATAGAAGACAAATATATATAT